CCACTCCCCAGGACCCCCTGTGCCCCCCACCCCACTGAACCCCCACCCTGGGGGCCCAGGATGGTTCCCCAGCCCTGAGCCCCCCAAAAGCCCCGCAGAGGGGGGCCTGACTCACCACTGGAAGTACAGGAACACCTGGCCCACCTGCGGAGAGGGAGCGGGGTGGGGGGGGGATCAGCTGGGGGGTCTGACACCCCCAGACCCTTCCCCACGGGGAGAGACCCCCCTGGCTTGGGAGCAGTGGGAGGTGAGAGCCCCCCTGGGAGGGATGGGCTCACACAGATCATTCATCCTTCCTTAATTCCCCGATTTCAGAGGGAAGTGAAACCTCCTCCTCCTCCTCCCACACCCGGCTCTGACCCATTGGAGCTCCAGCCCCAACACCAGGGAGGATTCAGGGAATCTTGGAATAGTTTGGGTGGGAAGGGACCCCAAATCCCCTGCAGTGCCACCCTGCCATGGCAGGGACACTGCCACTGTGCCAGGCTGCTCCAGCCCCAGTGTCCAGCCTGGCCTTGGGCACTGCCAGGGATGCAGGGGCAGCCCCAGCTGCTCTGGCAATTCCAGCCCAGCCAGGAATTCCTCATGGCCAAGATGCCATCCATGGCTGCCCTCTGGCACTGGGAGCCATTCCCTGTGTCCTGTCCATCCCTTGTCCCCAGTCCCTCTGCAGCTCTCCTGCAGTTCTGGACAGCCACTGATCTCTCCTACCTTGGAATATATCCTGGCGTGAAGGAGCCACTTTCTCAGGTTTGCTGGTCACCAGAGCAATCTCTGTGGAGGAAAAAAGCAAAACCTTTGTGCACGGGGGGCTGGGACGGGATGGGATTTAAGGTCCCTTCCCGCCCCATCATTCCCTGATTCCATCCCTGTGCCTCCCGCAGCACGCCAGGCGCTGTCGGGACGAGCCAGCAGCCCGCTGTCCCCGCTGTCCCCGCTGTCCCCGCACCTGGTAGAGCGACAGGTAGAGCACCCTGAGCAGGGCGAACAGCAGGCAGTCGCGCAGGGAGTCGCAGAGCAGCGCGCCCAGCGCCGCCAGCATTCCCAGCAGGCACAGCAGCTCCATGCCCTGCTCCGTGTCCAGCCCCAGGCGCGGCCCCAGCCACAGCAGCGTGGGGACATCGCGGAGCTGCTCCCAGAGCCCCTTCCCGGAGAGCCGCAGCACCCGCCGCGCCGGGAGCAGCCCCTCGCGGCCGTACAGCCCTGCGGAGAGCGGCGCTGGGATCGGCCGCGGGAGCACGGCATTCCCGGGAGCCCGGCATTCCCGGGAGCCTGGCATTCCCGGGGAACACCCGGCATTCCGGGGAGCACCCGGCATTCCCGGGGAGCACCCGGCATTCCCGGGAACCAGGCATTCCCGGGAACACCCGGCATTCCGGGGAACCCGGCACTCCGGGGAACACCCGGCATTCCTGGGAGCCCGGCATTCCCGGGGAGCCTGGCATTCCCGGGGAACACCCGGCATTCCCGGGAACACCCGGCACTCCGGGGAGCCTGGCATTCCCGGGAGCACCGGCACTCCCGGGAGCCCGGCATTCCCGGGAACACCCGGCACTCCGGGGAGCCTGGCATTCCCGGAAGCACCGGCACTCCCGGGAGCCCGGCACTCCGGAGAGCACCCGGCATTCCCGGGGAACACCCGGCATTCCGGGGAACCCGGCACTCCGGGGAACACCCGGCATTCCCGGGGAACACCCGGCACTCCAGGGAACACCCGGCACTCCGGGGGAACACCTGGCATTCCCGGCAACCCGGCATTCCCGGGGAACACCCGGCATTCCGGGGAACCCGGCACTCCGGGGAACACCCGGCATTCCGGGGAAAACCCGGCGTTCCCGGGAAATAACCCTGCCATTCCCAGGAAATAACCCGACATTCCCAGGAAAATACCCCCGGCATTCCCAGGAAATAACCCTGCCATTCCCGAGAAATAACCCCGCCATTCCCGGGAAATAACCCCGCCATTCCCAGGAAAATAACCCCGCCATTCCCGGGGAATAACACCCGGCAGAAAACCCCCACCATTCCCGAGAAATAATCCTGCCATTCCTGGGAAATAACCCTGCCATTCCCGAGAAATAACCCCGCCATTCCCGGGGAATAACCCCGCCATTCCCGTGGAAAAACCTCAGCATTGCCCGGAAAACCCTGACATCCCCAGGAAAAAACCCGGCAGAAACCCTCCATTCCCACGAGAAATAACCCTGCCATTCCCGAGCAATTACCCCGCCATTCCCGAGAAATAACCCTGCCATTCCCGGGGAATAACCCCGCCATTCCCGAGAAATAACCCTGCCATTCCCGGGGAATAACCCCGCCATTCCCGTGGAAAAACCTCAGCATTGCCCGGAAAACCCTGACATCCCCAGGAAAAAACCCGGCAGAAACCCTCCATTCCCAGGAAAAAAAACTTCGACATTCCCAGAAAAAAAAACGTGCCATTCCTGGGGAAAACAAACCCCGGCATTCCCGGGGGGAAAAAAAACAAACCAAACCCGGCATTGCCTAGAAAAAACCCAAAAACCCGCCATTCCCGGGAAAAAAAAAATAAAATCCGGCATTCCCAGGAAAAAGCCGGCAGCCCCAGCCGGGACAAACGCGAGGCCCGGAGTGACCCGGGCCGTCCCGGGCTGGATCCCGGCAGAGCCCAGCTGCGAGCCGGGAGCTGCCGGAGGCACGGGAAGGGACGGGAGGCGGCTCAGGGCACCGGGGCCGCGCCGGGATCGCCGGTGCTCCCGGGAAGGCGAAACGAGGGACGGAAACGGGAGGTGGAGGCGGCGGGAGGAGGGGAATGCCAGCGGGGTGCGGAGGGACCAGCCCGGCTGCGGGAGGGGACGGACCGAGCCCCGAGCCCGCTCCCGGCCCTGTCCCGGCTCTCCTGGCCCCATCCCGGCCCTATCCCGGTTCCCCGGCCCTGTCCCGGTTCCCCAGCCCCACTCCCGGCCCTGTCCCGGTTCCCGCGGCTCCATTCGGGGCCATATCCCGGTTCCCCCGGCTCTGTCCCGGTTCTCTCGGCCCCATTCCCGGCTCTATCCCGGTTCTCCCGGTCCCACTCCCATTCCTGTCCCGGTTCCTACGTAGAGGGAGCCGAAGGCGGCGATGTAGACCGCGGCCAGCCCGGCCAGGAACAGCGCCCGCGGCCGCGCCAGCTCCCCCATGGCGGCCATGGCGGGCCCGGCGGCGCGCGGCGCTGACGTCAGCGGCGCCGTGACGCCACCGGCGCGCGGGGCGCGTCGCGGAGCGCGGGAAGGACGAAAATGGCGGCGGCGATCGGGGGATGAGGAGGGGCTGGTGAGGGGCGGGGACCGGGACCGGGATCGGGACAGAGGTTTGGATGGGCACCGGGACCGGGACAGAGGTTCGGATGGGCACCGGGATCGGGACCGGGACAGAGGTTCGGATGGGCACCGGGATCTGGTCGGGATCACGGTGGAGACTGAGGTCGGGATGGGGACCGGGACCGGCATCAGGGTCGGGATCGAGGTTTGGAAGGGAACCGGGATCACGACTGGAATCACGACTGGGATCGAGGTTTGGATGGGCACCGGGATCGGGTCGGGATCACGGTGGAGATTGAGGTCGGGATGGGGACCGGGATCGGGATGGGGATGGGGATCGGGATGGGGATGGGGATCGGGTCAGGATCACGGTGGAGATTGAGGTTTAGATGGGGACCGGGATCGGGATGGGGATTGAGGATTGGATGGGGACCGGGATCGGGATGGGGATCGGGATCGGGTCAGGATCACGGTGGAGATTGAGGTTTAGATGGGGTCGGGATCGGGATTGGGATCGAGATCTGGATGGGCACCGGGATCGGGATCACGGTCCAGGCTGAGAGCACGGCTGGGGCAGCGATGGGATGGGAATTGGGGTCGGGGTCGGGATCAAGATCGGAATTGAAGCTGGGGGTGGGATCGGGATTGAGGTTGGGACCGGGGCAGAGTTAGGGATGGGAATTGGGGTCGGGGTCAGGCGAGGGGTTGGGATAGGGGATGGGATTGGGGGAGCAGGATCAGGGTTGGGATTGGGGATGGGATTGGGGGGATTGGGGGAGAGGGATCAGGGTTGGGATAGGGGATGGGATTGGGGTGATTGGGGATGGGATTGGGGTGACTGGGGATGGGATTGGGGTGATTAGGGATGGGATTGGGGTGACTGGGGGAGCGGGATCAGGGTTGGGATTGGGTTCCAGGCTGGGGTCAGGTTTGTGGTCAGGATCAGGTCGGGACTGGGATCACAGTCGGAGTGAGAACCAGGGTCAGGGCTGGGGCTGGGATCACAGTCAGGGTCAGGATCAGGATTGGGGCTGGGGTCAGGATTAGGACTGGGGTCAGGATTCAGGCTGGGGTCACAGTCAGGGTCAGGATTGGGGCTGGGGTCAGGATTGGGGCTGGGGTCACAGTCACGGTCAGGACTGGGGTCAGGATTGGGGCTGGGATCACAGCAGGGTCAGGGCTGGGGCTGGGATCACAGCAGGGTCAGGGCTGGGGCTGGGATCACAGCAGGGTCAGGGCTGGGGCTGGGATCACAGCAGGGTCAGGGCTGGGGCTGGGATCACAGCAGGGTCAGGGCTGGGGCTGGGATCACAGCAGGGTCAGGGCTGGGGCTGGGATCACAGCAGGGTCAGGGCTGGGGCTGGGATCACAGCAGGGTCAGGGCTGGGGCTGGGATCACAGCAGGGTCAGGGCTGGGGCTGGGATCACAGCAGGGTCAGGGCTGGGGCTGGGATCACAGCAGGGTCAGGGCTGGGGCTGGGATCACAGCAGGGTCAGGGCTGGGGCTGGGATCACAGCAGGGTCAGGGCTGGGGCTGGGATCACAGCAGGGTCAGGGCTGGGGCTGGGATCACAGCAGGGTCAGGGCTGGGGCTGGGATCACAGCAGGGTCAGGGCTGGGGCTGGGATCACAGCAGGGTCAGGGCTGGGGCTGGGATCACAGCAGGGTCAGGGCTGGGGCTGGGATCACAGCAGGGTCAGGGCTGGGGCTGGGATCACAGCAGGGTCAGGGCTGGGGCTGGGATCACAGCAGGGTCAGGGCTGGGGCTGGGATCACAGCAGGGTCAGGGCTGGGGCTGGGATCACAGCAGGGTCAGGGCTGGGGCTGGGATCACAGCAGGGTCAGGGCTGGGGCTGGGATCACAGCAGGGTCAGGGCTGGGGCTGGGATCACAGCAGGGTCAGGGCTGGGGCTGGGATCACAGCAGGGTCAGGGCTGGGGCTGGGATCACAGCAGGGTCAGGGCTGGGGCTGGGATCACAGCAGGGTCAGGGCTGGGGCTGGGATCACAGCAGGGTCAGGGCTGGGGCTGGGATCACAGCAGGGTCAGGGCTGGGGCTGGGATCACAGCAGGGTCAGGGCTGGGGCTGGGATCACAGCAGGGTCAGGGCTGGGGCTGGGATCACAGCAGGGTCAGGGCTGGGGCTGGGATCACAGCAGGGTCAGGGCTGGGGCTGGGATCACAGCAGGGTCAGGGCTGGGGCTGGGATCACAGCAGGGTCAGGGCTGGGGCTGGGATCACAGCAGGGTCAGGGCTGGGGCTGGGATCACAGCAGGGTCAGGGCTGGGGCTGGGATCACAGCAGGGTCAGGGCTGGGGCTGGGATCACAGCAGGGTCAGGGCTGGGGCTGGGATCACAGCAGGGTCAGGGCTGGGGCTGGGATCACAGCAGGGTCAGGGCTGGGGCTGGGATCACAGCAGGGTCAGGGCTGGGGCTGGGATCACAGCAGGGTCAGGGCTGGGGCTGGGATCACAGCAGGGTCAGGGCTGGGGCTGGGATCACAGCAGGGTCAGGGCTGGGGCTGGGATCACAGTCAGGATCAGGACCAGGCTCGGCAGTGGCGTTGGGATCTGTGTGTCGGCATTGGGGTGTGGATTTTGCAGCCCCAACAATTCCCCGTTGCCTGAGCCGTGTCCCCGTTCCCGCCCAGCTGAGCTGTGACTCCTGCAGAGCTTCCCCTGGGGCCGTCCCCTGCCCTGCAGCCCAGGTCTCTCATTCCCCGAGGACCCCCTCCTGCAGAGCTGGGGGCTTCCAGGCCCCCTGCGGGCTGTCTGCAGCAGGATCCCACCATGGAAGAGGTGGATTCCCGCTTCCTGCACCTGCTGCAGCCCATCCGTGACCTCACCAAGAACTGGGAGGTGGACGTGGCTGCCCAGCTGGGCGAGTACCTGGAGGAGGTAACAGGGTCACCCCAGGGCCCCTCGTGTCCCCTGCCCCTCCTGTTCTCTCTCCTTTTATCCCTCCTTTTCTCTCTCCTTTTGTCCCTCCTTTTCTCTCTCCTTTTATCCCTCCTTTCTTCTCCTTTTATCCCTCCTTTTCTCTCTCCTTTTGTCCCTCCTTTTCTCTCTCCTTTTATCCCTCCTTTCTTCTCCTTTTATCCCTCCTTTCTTCTCCTTTTATCCCTCCTTTTCTCTCTCCTTTTATCCCTCCTTTTCTCTCTCCTTTTATCCCTCTCTTTCCCCTCCTTTTCCTCCCTCCTTTTCTCTCTCCTTTTATCCCTCCTTTCTTCTCCTTTTCATCCCTCCTTTTCTCTCTCCTTTTATCCCTCCTTTTCTCTCTCCTTTTATCCCTCTCTTTCCTCTCCTTTTCATCCCTCCCTTTATCCTTCTCTTTCCCCTCCTTTTCCTCCCTCCTTTTCTCTCTCCTTTTATCCCTCTTTTCTTCTCCTTTTCATCCCTCCTTTTCTCTCTCCTTTTATCCCTCTTTTCTTCTCCTTTTCATCCCTCCTTTTCTCTCTCCTTTTATCCTTCTCTTTCTCCTCCTTTTCTGCCTCTTTTTATTCCTTGTCTTCTCTCTCCTTTTTCTTTCTTTTCTTCCTTTTATCCTTCTCTTTCCCCTCCTTTTCCTCCCTCCTTTTGTCTCTCCTTTTATCCTTCTCTTTCCCCTCCTTTTCATTCCTCCTTTTCTCTCTCCTTTTATCCCTCCTTTCTTCTCCTTTTCATCCCTCCTTTTCTCTCTCCTTTTATCCTTCTCTTTCCCCTCCTTTTCCTCCCTCCTTTTCTCTCTCCTTTTATCCCTCCTTTCTTCTCCTTTTCATCCCTCCTTTTCTCTCTCCTTTTATCCTTCTCTTTCCCCTCCTTTTCATCCCTCCTTTTGTCTGTCCTTTTGTCCTTCTCTTTCCCCTCCTTTTCATCCCTCCTTTTGTCTCTCCTTTTATCCTTCTCTTTCCCCTCCTTTTCATTCCTCCTTTTCTCTCTCCTTTTATCCCTCCTTTCTTCTCCTTTTCATCCCTCCTTTTCTCTCTCCTTTTATCCTTCTCTTTCCCCTCCTTTTCCTCCCTCCTTTTCTCTCTCCCTTTATCCCTCTTTTCTTCTCCTTTTCATCCCTCCTTTTCTTTCTTCTTTTTCCTCCTTTTATTGCTCTCTTTCTCCTTCCTTTTCTCTTTCTCTTTCCTCCTTTTCTTCCTTTCCTCCCTCCCTTTCTTCTCTCCTTTTCCCTCCTTTTGTTCCTCTCCTTCCCCTCCTTTTCTCCTTTTCCCTCCTTTTATTCCTCTCTTTCTCCCTCCTTTTCTTCCTCTTTTTATTCCTCCTTTCCTCTCTGTTTTTCCTCCTTTTCTTCCTTTCCTCTCTCATTTTTCCTCCTTTTATCCCTCTCTTTCCCCCTCCTTTTCTCCTTTTTCCTCCTTTTATTGCTCTCTTTCTCCCTCCTTTTCTTCCTCTTTTTATTCCTCCTTTCCTCTCTCTTTTTCCTCCTTTTCTCCCTTTCCTCTCTCATTTTTCCTCCTGTTATCCCTCTCTTTCCCCCTCCTTTTCCCCCTGTTTTTATCCCTCCTTTCTCCCCCCACAGCCCCATTTTCCCGGCTCAATCCCGGGGCCATCCAGCCGGGGTGGTGGCCCTGGGGACAATGACACCTTTCCCAGGCTCTGTGCCACCCCCTCATCCCTGTCCCTGTGCACCCCAAACCCTGCCAGGCCCAGCCTCTCCTCCCTGCCCGTGAGGAGCAGATTATTCATGGAGAATTCCCAAAACCTCACAGTTTTACACAATTGTGTGCAAACACTGAAATAAGTTGTGCTCACTTAAAGCCATGAAATAGAAATGGCATTGCTGAGAGAGAGATTGAACTAGAAACAAGTGCAAACACTGAAATAAGTTGTGCTCACTTAAAGCCATGAAACAGAAATGGCATTGCTGAGACAGAGATTGAACTAGAAACAAGTTTCAAAATACGGCCTTGCAAAAGAATTTTAAAGAATTAAAACTTTAATTCAATTAAAAATTTAACTTTAGAGAATTAAAACAGGGAAAGATGCATGGTAGCAAGACCACGTGGAGTGAAAATAGAAGTGATGAACGTTAGAATTAACAGCGGAGTGAAAAATATTTATAAGGTGTAACCAAAAAATGAGTTAGCTTTTAATGGAAAATAAGTTAGCTGGGTTTCACATCTCTTATGTCCCACCCTGCATGGAGACTGAACTTAAAGCCATGAAATAGAAATGGCATTGCTGAGAGAGAGATTGAACTAGAAACAAGTGCAAACACTGAAATAAGTTGTGCTCACTTAAAGCCATAAAATATAAATGGTATTGTTGAGAGATTGAACTAGAAACAAGTGCAAACACTGAAATAAGTTGTGCTCACTTAAAGCCATGAAACAGAAATGGCATTGCTGAGACAGAGATTGAACTAGAAACAAGTTTCAAAATACGGCCTTGCAAAAGAATTTTAAAGAATTAAAACTTTAATTCAATTAAAAATTTAACTTTAGAGAATTAAAACAGGGAAAGATGCATGGTAGCAAGACCACGTGGAGTGAAAATAGAAGTGATGAACGTTAGAATTAACAGCGGAGTGAAAAATATTTATAAGGTGTAACCAAAAAATGAGTTAGCTTTTAATGGAAAATAAGTTAGCTGGGTTTCACATCTCTTATGTCCCACCCTGCATGGAGACTGATAGCAGAATAAAGCCTTTTCAAGAACCCCTCAGATATGTAGAAGGTGAATTGAACCCCCTGCCCCTGCAGCTGGACCAGATCTGCATTTCCTTCGACAACGGCAGGACCACCATGAACTTCATGGAGGCAGCGCTGCTGATCCAGGGCTCTGCCTGCATCTACAGCAGGAAGGTGAGCACACAGCTGGCCCCTGCCCCCTCCCCATCCCACCCCAGGACCCCTGAGCAGCCCCTGGGGTCGCCCCGGAATCCCCCCTGGGGTTGTTGGTGGGGACGAAAGGATTTCGGCTGGTCGTTCCGAAATTGGGTCCTTTTGGAGGTGTTGGCAGCCCCAGGGAACGGCAGGAAAATTCTGCTGTTCTCCATTTCTCCAAAATGAGATCCTGTTTTGTCACAAAATCCTGGGATGTTGGAGCTTTTTGACCACGGAGTCCCGGAATGTTTTGGGTGGGAGGGGACCTCAAAGCCCATCCAGTGCCACCGTGGATGGGTGCCAGCCCATCCACTGTCCCAGGCTGCTCCAGCTCCAGGGATTTCCCCCAGTCTGGCCTGCAGAAAAAAGGGAAAAGAGCACCAAACCCCCGTGGAATTCACCTCCATAGTGGGAGGGGGCAGTCCCTTGGGTGGAGGGGCTTTCCCAGGAGCTGCTCCCCCCTTTCCCAGCCCCAGCTGCTGTTTTCCAGGTGGAATACCTGTACATGCTGGTCTGCCAGACACTGGACTGCATCTCCAAGAAAAAGTGAGTGGGATTTCCCCTTCCCAGAGGGGAATTTTCCCTTCCCAGAAGGGAATTAGTCCTGCAGAACCCCTGCTCTGGGTCTGTGCTGGTGCTGCCCTGATCCTGGGCCATCCCCACTCCCATCCCTGCCCTGGGAGGTGCATCCCAGGCCTAGGAATGCCATGACAGGGATAACACACAAAACCAGGGATGGTTTTCCTGCTGGTTCATGGGGATTCAGGAGTCCAGAGGAGCCTGGCAGAGCCTTTTCCAAAAGGAAAATCCCTTCGGAATGTGCTGCCAGCTCCTTTGGACTTTCACACTGACACAAACAAGAAGGGAAACCCCGTTGTTTTTTGGGATTTTCCCACCTGGAGGGGCCACAGCAGGGCTGGAGGGACCCTTTGCCACCATTCCATGGATCCTGAGCCCGTTTTTCCCTAGGAAGGAGAAGCTCCCCACTTCCCTGGGCCCCAACGGCCGCGATGCCGACGCCACCTTCACGGACAAGGAGGAGGAGGTGAGGAGGGCTCTGTGCTCCCTGCCCTGCTCCAGGGGGTCCCTCGGTGTCCCTGCCAGCTGGGGTGACACTGAGGGGGCTTTCCTGCAGTTCCTGTCCCTGGATGACATCCCAGAGACCAGCCAGGCCAGCGTGGACATGAGGAGGGACCAGCAGCCTGCTGTAAGAGGAACCAGTTGCATTTTATGCCTCCTTTTGTTTCTCTTTTTCCTCCTTTTGTTTCTTGGTTTATCTCTCCTTCCTCCTTTTCTCCCTCCTTTTTTTCCTTCCTCTTTTTATCCCTGTCTTTCCCCCTCCTTTTCTTTTTCTCTCTCTCTTTTATCCCCCCTTTTTCTCCTCTTTTTCTCTCTCCTTTTCTTCCCCTTATCCCCCTTTCTATCCCTCCCTTTCATGTTTCTTTTCTCCTTGTTTTTATTCCTCCTTTTCCCCCCTCTTTTTACTGTTCTTTTTATCCCTGCCTTTCCCACTCCTTTTCTCTCTCCTTTTGCCTCATTTTCTTCCTTTTATCCCTCTTTCTCCCTCCTTTTCCTCCTTTTCTCCCCTGCATGGCACCATTTTCCCGGGTCAATCCCGGGGCCATCCAGCCGGGGTGGTGGCCCTGGGGACAATGACACCTTTCCCAGGCTCTGTGCCACTTGCCTGTCCCTTCCCAGGCCGTGAACATCGTTCCCCTGACCCCGATGTCCCTGGTGCCCCCGGAAGAGGGGGAGAAGAAGGAAAACCCCCTCCTGAGGTGCCACTCCTGGGATTGTCCCGTGTCCCCTCCCCTGGGTGGGATTGTCCCGTGTCCCCTCCCCTGCTGGGATTGTCCCGTGTCCTCTCCCTCAGGTGGAATTGTCCCGCGTCCCCTCCCCTGCTCCAGTCCCTGGGTGGGATTGTCCCGTGTCCCCTCTCCTGCTGGGATTGTCCCGTGTCCCCTCCCTTGGGAGGGATTGTCCCGTGTCCCCTCCCTGCTCCAGCCGGGGTCCCTCAGCACAAACACGCGATCCTGCTGGGATCTGTGGAGGGGCAGGAAGCTCCTGGGATGTGCAGGGCCAGTCCCGCGCTGCTGGGCGGGCCGGGGTGGCGCTGGGCGGGCCCGGGGGACGCTGGGGACAGTGGCCTGCCGGTGTCGCGCAGCCGGCGCGGCGAGGTGCTGGCCAGCCGCAGGGATTTCCGGATGAACACCTCCACCCCGCACGCCTGCGGCGCCTTCCTGCTGGAGCTGGCCGGGCTCTCCCCCACCCACCCGCAGCAGGAGCAGCGCCTGGGGACCGCCACAGGTACGTGGTGGCTCCGGGGTGCCTGTGTCACTGTCACTGCCCGGACTCACCTGTCACTGTCCCCGGCAGTGGCTCCACGATCCAGCCCCGCGGAGCGTCCGAGCTCTGGCACGGCCCTGGCGCGGGCGCTGAGCTTCTGCGAGGAGGCAGGTGAGGGGTGGCACCTGCCAGGGGTGTCCTGGGCTCCCCGTGCCCATCCAGGACGCTGGAGAGGAGGCTGAGGGGTGAATTCGTCCCTCAGGACTGGGCTGTGCTGCCAGGGAACAGGGACAGGAGGAGAGGGAACGGCCTCAGCCTGAGCTCAGGGTGGATTTTGGGGAAATTCCTCCTGGAAAGGGCTGTGCAGCCCTGGCACAGGGGCTGGGTGGGGTCCCTGTCCCTGGAGGGGTTTAACGTCCCTGTGGATGTGGCACTTGGGGACACAGGCAGTGGTGGCCCTGGCAGTGCTGGGAATGGTTGGATTTGGGCTCTGAGGGATTTTCCTACCCAACTAACTGCACCATTCCCTGCTCCTGCCCTCTGCTGCCCCTTGGCCCTGGCAGGAGAAGCTCCTGGGGAGATTCCTTGGCAGACAGGGTGGGAATGGGGGGTCCTGGAAGCTTCTCCAGCCTCTGCCCATTCCCACCCCTCCATGTGCTGCAGGACCTGAGGATGACGATGTTCCTGCAGCCCTGGAGGATGACATGGAAGTGACCCCGGTCCCTAAAGAACACATCGTGGCTCAGAGGGTCTGTGTGGGCAGGGGCTTGGGGGGCTGCCTGTGCCCCTTCCCTGGATCCCCCCAGCCCTTCCCTGCCCCCCAGTTCCTCACTGTCCCTCTCGGTGTCCCCAGAGCACGCCCCAGACCCGGGGGTACGTCCTGCGGGAGAGACCCCCCAGCCCGGACCCCAAAGCCCTCAGCAAGGTAAGGGGGGGCCTGGAGCCAGGGAGATCCCAAATCTGAGCCAGGGAAATCCCAAATCCGGGCAGGATGGGACTTTATGGGGTGTCCCAGAGCCCCTGCCCATCCTCACCCCTGTGCCAGGAGGAGCCCAGCCCGTGGCAGAGCCTCGACCCCTTCGGAGACTCTGAGGAGAAGCCCTTCAGGAAAGGTATTTTTGGGGGAAAATGGGCAGCTCCAGGGGAGCAGGGACAGCGTGGCCCGTGGTGGGTCACTCCTGGCCACGTGTCCCTCAGTGTCCCCAGCCCCACAGCAGGTCATTCCCAGCCCCATGGGAGGGTCACTCCTGGCCACGTGTCCCTCAGTGTCCCCAGTCCCACAGAGGGATATTCCTGGCCCCACAGGGGGACATTCCCAGCTCATGGAGGGTCATTCCCAGTCCCACAGGGGGGTCATTCCCAGCCACATGTCCCCATGTCCCCATCCCCATGGCAGGTCCTTGCCAGCCCCACATCCCCATGTCCCCATCCCCATGGCAGGTCCTTCCCAGCCCCACATCTCCATGTCCCCATCCCCATGGCAGGTCCTTCCCAGCCCCACAATGGATCACTCCCAGCCACACTGGACATCCTCAAGTGTCCCTGTGCCCATGCTGGGTCATTCCAGCCCCACAACATCCAGAGGAGCCCCTTCCCCTTCCCAGCCCCTCGTGGTGGCCACACGGCCAGTGTCACCCGTGTCACCTGCAGGGAGGCCCTTCCAGGTGCCACACGGCCTGGATGAGGTGACTGGAGGCAAGAGGAAGAGGAGGGGCCCGAGGAAGCTCCAGGATTTCACCAGATGGTTCTCTGCAGCCTGTGAGTGATTCCTGTGGGAATGGGATCCAAAAGGATTTAAAAGCCTTTAGCAGAAGTTAAAAACCTTTAACAGCCCTGTGCATGTGGCACTTGGGGACATGGGCAGGGGTGGCCTTGGCAGTGCTGGGGAGGACTCGATGGGCTCAGAGGGCTTTTCCAACTTTGATAAATCCCTGGAATTTCCACCCAATGATTATTCCTGATCTGCTCCCCCAGACAACAACGTCACGGAGGGCCGGAAAAGCAGGAGGAGGGGCCCCACCTTTGCAGGTGAGGGGACACGGGCAGGGACACATTCCCTGTCCTGGGGGACACCAGGGACTGGATCCTGCAGTGGGGAGGGCATGGAGGGGAAGGACACCCCAAAACTGGGGGGAATGGACACCAGGGACTGGATCCTGCAGTGAGGAATGGACACCAGGGACTGGATCCTGCAGTGGGGAGGGCATGGAGGGGAAGGACACCCCAAAACTGGGGCAATGGACACCAGGCTCCTGCAAAGGAGAAGGGCCTGGGCTGCCTTGGGGGGGTTCTGCTTTGGGGGGGTGCAGAGGGGCCATCCCAAATCCCTGTTCCCAATCCCTGCAGACCTGGAGGTGCTGTACTGGCGGCATTTCAAGGAGCGGCTGGTGGCGCGCAGGAAGCTCCAGAGCCGGGGGGTGAGTGGGGTGGGGGCTAAACCGGGGGGCCGGGGGGCTCCAGCACCCCCTTGCCGTGCTCTGGGGGTGCTCAGGGCAGTTCCTCCCCCAGGTGCTGCTGAGGGAGTCGGAGCCAGAGCTGGAGCAGGAGCGCGGGGCCGACAGCGAGGAAGGGGAAGGTGCTGGAACCCAAAACCCCAAATCCCCCCTGCCTGGGGAGCCTTTCTTTCCCTCCTGGGGGTCTGGGAGAGTCCCAGAAGGTTGTGGGGGGGTCTCAGGGGGCACTGAGGGGGTCTCAGGGGACACTGAGTGGTGTCCCCATCCTGGCAGACGATTTTGTGGAGCATGAGGACATGGAGCCTGAGGCGCCAGAGGAGCTGGAGGAGGAAATCCTGGGTGAGCTGCTGATCCTTCCCTCCCCAATCCCCAGCCCATCCGTCCCCACTCTGTCCCCTGTCCCTCCCATGGGGGCGGCTGGGTGACCCCTTTTCCCACAGACCCCCCTGAACCTGGCTACGAGGAGCTGGTGCGCAGGAACGTGGTAGGTGCTGCTGCGGGGACCTGGGGGTCACTCCAGACAGTCAAGGGGTCCCCAGGAGGCTTGGGGGCGTCCCCAGGGGGCTTGGGGGTGTCCCCAGGGGGCTTGGGCGTGTCCCCATTGCTGTCCCCGTCCCCAGGAGCTGTTCATGGCCAGCTCCCAGAAGTTCGCGCAGGAGACGGAGCTGTCGCAGCGCATCCGGCAGTGGGAGGAGCGCATAGAGCCGCTGCTGCAGGAGCAGGCACGGAACCGGGCTGGGCTGGGGGGCACTGCCTGGGCTGGGGGGCACTGCCTGAGCTGGGGGGCACTGCCTGGGCTGGGGGGCACTGCCTGGGCTGGGCAGGGATACCACCCCAGAGCACCCCATACCCACCCCAGAGTCCCCTGCCCACACTTGAGCCTCCCCTGAACACTCTCCACCCCTGCCCCTCCCTGTCCCCTCTTACCTGCAGTTCTGTGCCCGTTCCATGTCCATGGGTAGTGGCTGGCACTGACAGGTGACACTCCCTGACCCTGGCTGTCCCCTCACTGTCCCCCAGGAGAGCTGTGTCCCATTCCATGTCCATGGGTAGGGGCTGACACTGACCAGTGACCCTCACTGTTCCCCAGGAGAGCTGTGTCCCATTCCATGTCCGAGCCCACGGGCTGGCACTGACCGGTGACACTCCCTGACCCTCACTGTCCCCCAGGAGAGCCGTGTCCCATTCCATGTCTGAGCCCACAGGCTGGCACTGACCAGTGACACTCCCTGACCCTGGCTGTCCCCTCGCTGTCCCCCAGGAGGGCCGTGTCCCATTCCATGTACGCGCCCACGGGCTGGCACTGGCCAGTGACCCTGGCTGTCCCCTCACTGTCCCCCAGGAGAGCTGTGTCCCATTCCATGTCCGCGCCCACGGGCTGGCACTGACCGATGACACTCCCTGACCCTTGCTGTCCCCCAGGACAGCTGTGTCCCATTCCATGTCCGAGCCCACACGCTGGCACTGACCAGTGACCCTCCCTGACCCTGGCTGTCCCCTCCCTGTCCCCCAGGAGAGCCGTGTCCCATTCCATGTCCGAGCCCACGGGCTGGCACTGACCAGTGACACTCCCTGACTCTCACTGTCCCCCAGGACAGCCGTGTCCCATTCCATGTCCAAGCCCACGGGCTGGCACTGACCAGTGACCCTCCCTGACCCTGGCTGTCCCCTCCCTGTCCCCCAGGAGAGCCGTGTCGCGTTCGATGTCCGCGCCTACGGGCAGCAGCTGACCGAGCGCTGCGCGGAGCTGGGCCAGTGGCACTCCCTGGCCAGCCTGGTGGCCGGGCAGCCGCCGTTCGAGGTGTGCCGCTACCTGCTGGCCTCGCTGCAGCTGGTAAGGCTTTGGGGGCTCCCTGGGGGGGGGTCGCTGGGTGTGCCAGGCCCCCCTGCCACCCGCTGTCCCCTCCCCAGGCCAACGACGAGGAGGTGGAGCTGGCGCAGGAGCCGGGGCTGGAGGCGGCGCTGGACACGGCGCGGCTGCGGCTGATCTCGGCCCGCCCGGCGCACGAGAGGTTCCAGCAGCTCCAGCTGCCCTCCCAGAGAGACCCCGGCCCCCAATAAACCCCCCCTTTGCTAAGGAGAGGCCTCTGACCTAGGGGTGTAATGGGGGTGGGGGGGTCATGGGATTCGGCTGCACAGGGATTGTGGGGAGGGGCCTGGGGGGCTGCAGGGGTGGGGGTGTCACTTCAGTCAGCTGCACAGGGACCCCCAGCCATGGAGAGGGGCCTGGGGGGCTGCAGGGGTGGGGCGGTCACTTCAGTCACCTGCACAGGGACCCCCAGCCATGGGGAGGGGCCTGGGGGGCTGCAGGGGCAGGGAGAGGCTCTGGGGGGGTCCCTCTGCCCACCTACCTTGTCTCCCTTTGGGAAGGGGTCACTTCACTCACCTCTGCAGAGCCCCCCCCCCCATGGGACACTCCTGGGGGGGCTGCAGGGGTCCCTCCCTGCCATGTGACACTGCTGGGGGGCAGTGGGGTCTGGTGGGGGTCCCTCCACCCACCCACGTTCTCCCCCTCACAGGACACACCTGGGGGTCACTCCACATGGCCACTCAAAACCTTCCTCATCCCAGACCATTCCTGGGGGACACTGCGGGCTGTCAGGTGTCCCCTCCCTGCCATGGGACATCCCTTGGGGGATGTGGGCTCTGTCTGTCTCACAGGACACACCTCAGGGACACTGGAGATGTCAGATGTCCCTCTCTGTGTGTCACCCCTGCAGGGTATGGGCTCTGTCCCTCCCACAGGACACACCTGGGGGACACTGGAGATGTCAGCTGTCCCCCTCTGTGTGCCACCCCTGCAGGGTGTGGGCTCTGTCCCTCCCACAGGACACACCTGGGGGACACCTGTCCCCTTCTATGTGACACTGGAGGTGTCAGATGTCCCTCTCTGTGTGTCACCTTTGCAGGGGGTGGGCTCCGTCCTTCCCACAGAACACACCTCAGGGACACTGGAGGTGTCAGCTGTCCCTCTCTGTGTGCCACCCCTGCAGGGCGTGGGCTCTGTCCCTCTCACAGGACACACCTGGGGGACACTGCATGCTGTCACCCGTCCCTCCCCCGCCACGTGCCACCCCCAATCACCACAGACCCCGCTCCAGGAGTGGGGCGTCACGGCCGTTTATTGCCCTCCCTCGGGGGGCAGCGGCTCGTAGGCGTCCATGTGCCCCCTGACGCTGCGCGCCACCTCCTCGGCCGTGCGGGAGCTGCCGTAGCAGTCGCGCAGGAGCCCGTCGGGATCCACCAGGAACGTCAGCACCGAGTGATCCACCACGTAGTCGCCGTCGGCGTCGCGGGGCCCGGCGCTCACGTAGACGCGGAAGGCGGCGGCGGCGGCGCGCACCTGCTCCGGGGTGCCGGTGAGCCCCAGCAGGCGCGGGTGGAAGTCGCGCAGGTACCGCGCCAGCGCCGCCTCGTCGTCGCGCTCGGGGTCCACGGTGACGAAGAGCGGCTGCAGCGGCGGCAGCGCCGGGTCGCGCTCCAGCAGGCTCACGGCGCGGCTCAGCCTCTCCAGCTGCTCGGGGCACACGTCCGGGCAGTGCGTGAAGCCGAAGTAGAGCAGCAGCCAGCGGCCGAGGAAATCCGCCTTGCTCCGCGCCGCTCCCGCGCTGTCCCGCAGCTGGAAGTCGCCCTGGCCCAGCGCCAGCTGGCGGAGCTGCCGCAGGCGGCGGGAGCGCCGCTGCCGCTCCTTCTGCTGCCGCAGGTACAGCCAGCCCGCGGCCGCCGCGCCCGCCACCGCGCCCGCCGCCGCATCCCACCCCTTGGACCCCAACCCTGTCCCAAAACGCCCCCTGACCCCTCATCTCCCCCCTCCCCCGGCAGTCCCCGCTGACCTTTGACCTCTCCCGGTCCCTCCGCCGCCGGTCCCGCCCGGGGCGCCCGCGCCGCTGCCGCCGGAACCGGAAATACCGGCAGGGGGCGGGGCCACGGAGGAAAGGGGCGTGGCCACGACGGGAGAGGGCGTGGTCTGCATAGTGCGCGTACAAGGTGGGCGGGGTGCGGCCAAAGCGGGAGGGGGGCGTGGCCAATGCGAGGGGCGTGGCCACAGCACACTTCCCTCTTCCACCGCGAGGTGGCGCCACCGCCCCGCGCCGCAGCCCTCAGAATCGTGAGGGGGTGAATCGTGAGGGGGTGAATCGTGAGGGGGTGAATCGCGACACGGCCCCGACATCGCGGTCACTGCGGTTTATTGTGAGTCCCGGCACGGCCCCGGGAGGGATCCCGAGGGCACGATGGTCTCGGCCACCAGCGGCGGCGGGTCCCGGGGGGGCTCCGGGCCGAGGCACAGCGCGTCCTGCAGCTGGCGCCGGCCCTCGGCGCCGAGGGTGCCCTCATGGTGCAGCCGCAGCCAGGGCTCGCCTGAGGGAGGGGACACAGAGGGGTCACCGGGGGGCTCTGATCCCCCCAGATATCCTCCCAGATATCCCCCCAGATATCCCCCCTCATCCGGGGTTCACCCCCAGCCGGGACTCTTCTGAAGGAGGGGACACGGGGGGGTCATGGGGGGCTCTGATCCCCCCAGATATCCCCCCCAAATCGGGGTTCACCCCCAGCCGGGGCTCGCCTGAGGGAAGCACAGAGGGGTCACCGGGGGGCTCTGATCCCCCCAGATATCCCCCCCAACCCGAGGGCACCCCCAGCCAGGGCTCGCCTGAGGGAAGCACAGAGGGGTCACCGGGGGGCTCTGATCCCCCCAGAAATCTCCCCCACAACCCGAGTGCACCCCCAGGCAGGGCTTGTCTGAGGGAGGGGACACGGGGGGATCATCGGGGGGCTCTGATCCCCCCTCATCCGGGGTTCACCCCCAGCCGGGACTCTTCTGAAGGAGGGGACATGGGGGGATCATCGGGGGGCTGTGATCCCCCCAGAAATCTCCCCCCCAACTCGAGTGCACCCTCAGGCAGGGCTTGTCTGAGGGAGGGAGGCACAGAGGGGTTATCGGGGGGCTCTGATCCCCCCCCAAACCGGGGTTCACCCCCAGCCGGGGCTCGCCTCAGGGAGGGGACACGGCGGTGAGGGGCTGATGGGGGTTTCGGGGGGCTCCCCTCACCTGCCCGCAGGTGCTGCCCGGTGCCCACCAGCAGCTCGGCGCCCACGCGGGGGTTCACGGGGTCCCCGGCCCGCGACCGGCCTGCGCCCAGGCCGTGCAGGACCCGCGCCAGGGGCAGCGCCCGCACCTGCTGCACCCAGCCTGGGGACAGGGGGCAGGGGGACAGGGACATGGGGGGGACAGGGACATGGGGAGGGACTGGGACATGGGGTGGGACAGGGACATGGGAGGGCAAGAGGATCAGGGACATGGAGGGGGGAGCCCCCAGCCTTGGCAGGGCAGGGACATTGCGGGGATCCCCAATATGGGGGTGTCGGGACATGGGGGACACAGGGGAGAGCCCCCAGCCTGGGAGGAGAATGGGAGGGGCAGGGACGTGACAGGGAGACCCCAGCCCGGGCGGGTCAGGACATGGGCATCCCCCAGGGATGTGGGGCAGGGGACACAGGTGAGGACCCCCAGAACACGGGATGGGGAAGCGGGGACCCTCAAGGGGCAGGGTATGGGGGTTTGGGGACCCCCAAACACAGAGGATGGGCAGGTGAGGACTCTCAGGGTGGGGGGAATAATCCGGGGGAGTCTTGAGCATCCTGGGGAGGGGCGAGGGGGGGATGGCGATGGGTGGGAGCAGTGGGAATGGGGGGACTTTCAGCCCCCCGGAGGGGCACGGGGTGTTGGGAGAGAGGGGAATTTGGGGTGGGGTCCCTCTGACCTTCCTGCGGCGCGGGCAGCTCCTCGCAGACCTTGGCCTCGCCCAGGAGCCGGCGGCGCTGGGCGGGGGTCCCGGCGCAGAGGCCCCGGGCGGTGTCGGGGGGCACCCCCTGTGCCCCCAGCATGGCCTCGAACGTGCCCAGGGCCGAGCCATCGTCCAGAGCCCGGGCCAGGCGCTCACGGCCCTGCTCGGCCCCCGCGGCCATCCCGCACTGCCAGAGCAGCACCCCGCCTGCGCCCCAAAGCGGGACACGGCTGGGACCCCCACTCCTGGGGAGCCCCAAACCCTGCCCCACTGCACCCCCACCCCTGCTCGGGACAGGGAGGAGGGGCGGGGGCAAGGGGAGGGGGACGGGGACCCCAGGAGGGGCTTAGGAGGGGACAGAGAGTGTGGGGGGGACCCCGGGGTGGGGCGGTCAGGACTGGACACAGGACCCATGTCTGCTCCGTGTCCCCTCGTGTCACCGCACTGACCCAGGGCGGTGACCAGGTGTCGCAGGTCGGGGGGACCGCCCCCTCCTTGTCCCCCCCGTGTCTCCCCGTGTCACCAGACTGACCCAGGGCGGTGACCAGGTGTCGCAGGTCGGGGGGGCCGCCCCCTCCTTGTCCCCCCCGTGTCCCCCCGTGTCACCAGACTGACCCAGGGCCGTGACCAGGTGTCGCAGGTCGGGGGGCCGCCCCCTCCTTGTCCCCCCCGTGTCCCCTCGTGTCACCGCACTGACCCAGGGCAGTGACCAGGTGTCGGAGGTCAGGGGGCCGCCCCCTCCTTGTCCCCCCCGTGTCCCCCCGTGTCACCGCACTGACCCAGGGCGGTGACCAGGTGTCGCAGGTCGGGGGGGCCGCCCCCCTCCAGGCACTCGAGCGCCTCCAGCACCTCCAGCGCGTTGCCCACGGCGCGGCCCAGCGGCTGCTCCATGCGGGTCAGCAGGGCCGCCGTGCGGATGCCCAGGTGTGCGCCCACCTCCACCTGCGCGGGGACAGCGGGCAGGGACAGGGACAACAGGCGGGGACAGCGGGCAGGGACAGAGGTCAGGGGTGGGGACACGTGGGGACAGGGACAGAGAGAGAGGACAAACAGGGACAGCGGGCAGAGAGAGGAGCAGGGACAGGCAGGGGCAGTGGGAAGAACAGATAGGGACAAGGGACAGCAGGCAGGACAGGGATGGGACACGTGGGGACACGGACAACAAAGGGCAGGGTTAGGGACAGGAGCAGGGACAGCGGGAATGGCCCGGGACAGTAGGCAGGGAGAGAGGGCAGGGACAGGGACAGTGGGAGGGGACAGTGGGCAGGGAGAGTGGACAAGGACAGGGGCAGCGGGCAGGGATGGACAGGGACAGGGACAGCAGGAGGGGACAGTGGGCAGGGAGAGTGGACAAGGACAGGGACAGCGGGCAGGGATGGACAGGGACAGGGACAGCAGCGGGGACAGTGGGCAGGGAGAAACAGGGCAGGGATAGGGGACAAACAGGGACAGAGACAGGAGCAGGGACAGGAGCAGGGACAGGCAGGGGCAGTGGGAAGGAGAACAGAGAGGGACAAGGGACAGCAGGCAGGGAGAGTAGAGAGGGACGGGACACGTGGGGACACGGACAGCCAGGGGCAGCGGGCAGGGTCAGGGACAGGAAGCGGGAATGGCCCGGGACAGTAGGCAGGGAGAGAGGGCAGGGACAGGGACAGGGGGAGGGGACAGTGGGCAGGGAGAGGGGACAAGGACAGGGACAGCGGGCAGGGATGGACAGGGACAGGGACAGTGGGAGGGGACAGTGGGCAGGGAGAGTGGACAAGGACAGGGGCAGCGGGCAGGGATGGACAGGGACAGCAGGCGAGGACAGTGGGCAGGGAGAGACAGGGCAGGGATAGGGGACAAGCAGGGACAGAGACAGGAGCAGGGACAGGAGCAGGGACAGGCAGGGGCAGTGGGAAGGAGAACTGAGAGGGACAAGGGACAGCAGGCAGGGAGAGTAGAGAGGGACGGGACACGTGGGGACACGGACAGCCAGGGGCAGCGGGCAGGGTCAGGGACAGGAGCAGGGACAGCGGGAATGGCCCGGGACAGCAGGCAGGCAGAGAGGGCAGGGACAGCGGGCCGGGCAGGGGTCCCGGGGGTCCCCGAGGTCTCACCAGGCTCCGGGCCAGCTCCCGCGCGCTCTCCTGGCTGGGGTACAGAGCTGCCTCCCCGAACTTCACATCCAGCACCAGCGCCGAGAGCCGCTCCGCCGCCTTCTTGCTGAGGATGGAGGCTGGGCCGGGCGGGGGGGGGGGCACCGGCTGCGCCCCCTCCCCGCGCCCCGCGTGCCCCCGCGGCCCGCGTGCCCGTACCGGTGATGAGGGGCGGGCTGTCCACGGTGGCCGTGACGTCGCGCAGCCCGTAGAGCACCCGGTCCGCGGGCACCAGCTCCGCGCTCTGCCCCACGATGCAGCAGCCCACCCGCGCCAGGATGTGCTGCATCTGCGGGCACCGGTGTCCCGTGGGACCCCGGGGACAGCCCATCGGCACCCCGGGGACACCCCAAGGGTGTCCCAGTGAGACCCCCTGTGATGAGCTCTGGAGCCCCAGTGCCCCCAAGCCCGGATCCTGCAGGGTGTGAGGGTGCCCGTGGTGTCCCCGTCACCCCCCATCCGTCACCTCCTCGGGGCTCTGGGACACGCGGAACCCGGGAATGGCCTCCAGCTTGTCCAGGGTGCCCCCGGTGTGGCCCAGCCCGCGCCCGCTGATCATGGGCACCTGGGGAGGGACACGGGTGGGCGCAGGGGCTCGGGGACCCCCCCGTCCCGCCCCATCCCCGGGTTCCCCTCACCTTGCAGCCACAGGCGGCCAGCGCGGGGGCCAGGGCCAGGCTGACCTTGTCCCCAACGCCGCCGGTTGAGTGCTTGTCCACCACCAGCCCGTGCCAGGCGGGCGGCCAGGCCAGCGTCCGGCCAGAGCTGGCCATGGCCTGGGTCAGGGCCAGTGTCTCACCCGCGTCCATGCCCCGCAGCCGGATGGCCATCAGCATGGCCCCTGCGGTGACAGCGGCCGGCCACATGTCACCTCCCCTGTCCCCAAGCTGACCCGTGCCCCGCAGCCAGACGCCATCTGCGTGGCACCCGGGGACACGCGGGGCCACCTCAGTGCCCTCCCCAGGACCCCCACCCATCCACATCCCCTGGCCGTGACCTTCTGCCACGCGCTGGGGTCCCCCTCTCGCCCCCCATGGGGTCCCCCAGCTGTGTCCCCTGCTCGTGACCCATTGCCATGTCCTGGAGTCCCTCTCTTGTCCTCCCAGGGTGGTCCCCCAGCCGTGTCCCCTGCCCAGGACCCCTCGGCATGTCCCGGGGTTTCCCTTGCTGTCCCTCCTACTGCTGAGACCCCCCCTGTCCCGGTGCCCCCTGTGCCTTTGTCACTCCCCTGGCCATGTCCCCACCTTTCTGCCCGCGCTCCCCGCCACGTCCCCGTCTCGTTGGCGCGTCCCCGGCCGTGTCGCCCCTCACGCTCCCTCCGCTGCCCTCCCGGCCCCGGGGTGTCCCCGCGCCCCTCCCGCCCGCACCGATCTGTCCCTGCTGCGCCGTGCCCTCGGTGACGCCGCGCACGAAGCTCCGGATCTCGGCGTCCTCCAGACGCTCCCCGTCCCGCTTCTTGCGGATCAGGGTCGGGAGAGGGGTCGGGGCGTCCATCCCTGTCCCGGGCAGCTGGCACCGCGATGTGGCAGCAGTCACGCCCCGAAGTGGCACCAATGGCACCCGAGCCCGTCCCGCCGCGCCCCGGTTGCCCAGAGCCGCCACCCCGAGCCCGCACGGCCGCGCCTCCCCCGGCGCTGCCGGGACCTGCCCGTGCCCGCCTGGCCCCGTGCCCGGTGCCCGCTGCCCGCGGGTGGCGAGGCGGCTCCGGCCGTGGACTTTGAGCCCGGGGCAACGAGCGGGGCACGGGAGAGGCCTCGGCGCGGGGTGATACGGGGGTGGCACGGGGGGGGGCGTGACACGAGGGGTGGCCCCTGGGTCCTTCATTCACCTGGACACTCGCAGGTGATGCCGTGCCAGGGGTCCCCCCATCCCACAGATCCCACAGAGCGGGGGGAGTCCTCAAGGCGCGGCGCTGATGGATGTCCCCTCTCTGTTCGGTGTCCCCAGAGCACCCCATGGCCCGAGGACCTGGGTAGGATGGGATGGGACTGGAGCAGGGAGGGGGTTGCTAGCACATCCCACCCCACCATGGGGTCCCTCTCCGTGGCCCTGACAGGGTCTCCTTTGGGATGGGCAAGGTGTGGCTTTAGGGGAGCCCCCGGCCCCCCGTGCGACGCAGCGGGACGGGAGAGTGAGCGAGTGCTGCTGTAGTTCGTGTTTGTCACAGGCTGACAGTGTCACACAGGACAGTGAGCGAGTGCTGCTGTAGGTTCGTGTTTGTCACAGGCTGACAGCGTCACCCATGTCCCCATTCCCCTACAGGTGCAAGTCCATCATGGGGACCACGCTTTCCGAGTGGCGCACACCAAAGGTCTGTCCTTTTTTCTGGTCCTGCGGGAGGACAGAGACGGTGTGAAGGTGAGGGGCTGTGGGTCCCCGTCCCCCAGGCCTGTCCTTGTCCCTGTCCCCGTCCCCACTCACCGGCTTGGGGTAGTAGTCGCTGGGGCTGGGTGTGTTGGAGGTCAGGCACAGGCGGGTCCGCCCCACTATGGTGCAGCGGGGGGCCCGTGCCATGTACAAGTTGGTGTCCACGGTGCCGTATTTGTTGGGTCCTGGGGTCTGCGGGGAGAGGGGCGGGTGATGTCACCCCCTGGATGCCCCACACCCTCAGTACCCAGAGCCCCTGCACCCCGCATCCTTGGCACCCCAGCCCCCCGGAGCTGTGGCACTCCAGACTCCTTGGTACCCCAACCCCTGGCACCGCACACTCCTGGTACCCCAGTCTCCGGGACCCTGATACCCCAGATCCAGTCCCCTGGTACCCCAGTCCCTTTGCACCCGACCCCCAGTTCCCCAGCCCCCTGCCCCCCCAGTCCCCCGGCCCTCCCAGCCCCCACCTGTTTATTGTCATCGAAGATGCTGGGGCCTCGCCCTGTCATGATATACTGGGGGGTCGATGTCTTGTTCACTAGGCGGGGGCCCACCACGGGTGGCAGCTGGTAGGTGGCAGGGCCTGGTGGGGGGGACACGGCTCAGGGGGACACGGGGCTTCACCCTCCCACAGGTGGGGAGGAAAGGCTCAGCCCCGGGGCGCTGGGCGGGTCAGACCAGCCAGGGGATGTTGGGGAGCCCAGTCTGGCCAGGGAGATGGGGGATCCCAGCCCGAGAGGAGATGGGGGGCCCAGCCCAGAGGAGATCAGGGGGTCCCGGCCCAGTCCAACACAGGGGAATGACGGGGATCCCAGCCCAGGTGGGGTGTTGGAGGTCCCAGCCCCGGGGGACACGGGGGACCCCTCACATCCCACTCTCTCTCTCTCACCTGGCGTCTGCTGGGGTTTGTCCGGGCGGCCGCGGGACCTCAGGGAGCAGGCGGGGGCCGAGGGCAGGGTCACCCTGTTGGCCTGCTCCGGGGAATAATACGCTGCAAGGGCGAGCGGGGGTCAGCCGCCGTGCGCTCCGGGCGCTGCGCGGGGTGCCGCCCCCGGGGCTGCCGCCCCTCACTCACCTGGCCCAGGTGTGTTGCTGGCCCGCCGCTCCCGGGGGCGGCCGCCCATGGTGAAGGCGGGGCCGCGTTCCCGGCCCCGGGCGGTGAAGCCGGCCGGCACCAGGTACTGGGGGCCGGGGGAGCGCGGCTCCTCGGGGCCCCCCAGCTTCATCCCGAAGCTGTAGGCGGGGGCGCGGCGTCCGGAGGGGTCGCGCTGGTCTTTGCCTGGGGGCGGGCAGGGGCTCGGTGGAACTCGGCGCCCCCGGCTCGCGTCCCCCGTCGGCCCCGCGGCTCCGCGCTCACCGGTGCTGCCGGCGATCCTGTACTTGGGCCCGGGGCTGGGGTACGCGGCCGAGGTGGGCCCCCGGAGCCGGTGGGGTCTCCGGGGGCCCACCCACAAGTCGTTTGACATGGGGGGCTTCGTCGGTGGCGCCCCAGCCTCAGGCTCGGCCCCCGGGCCGGTGGCCTCGGGGGGGGACGTGGGTGCTCCCGGCGCGGCTGCCCGCGGTGAGCGGGGTGGCAGCTGCGGCGCCGGCATGCGGTGATGGCCGTGTTGGTGGCAGCGGCGCCCTGGTGACAAGTGACTCTGCGGGGCCGCGGGCGCCGGCAGCGGCGGCGTGGTGGCCGTGGTGGCCATGGTGTCACAATGGCCGCGGGGTTCCAGCGCTTTGTTCCCCCGGGACAGCGCTCAGCACCCCGGGGTGACAATAGTGACAGCGCCGGGGAGGGAACGCCGGGAGCCCCGTGGATACACCCCGGCACCCCATGGGTACATCCCAAAAATACACCCCGTGGATACACCCCGGCACCCCATGGGTACATCCCGATGGGTACATCCCAAAAATACACCCCAGAAATACACCCCATGAGTATATCCCGATGAATACCCCCAAAAAATACACCCCATGGATGCACCCCTGGCACCCCATGGATGCACCCCTCGGACCCGATGTCTGACCCCCCAGAACCCCATATATGAACCCCCCCTGGATCCCGTGGGGAGGACAGGAGGGACACGGAGACACAGGAGCACAAGGACGGAGGGATGGGAGGGGACATGGGGACAGTGGGGGACAGAGGAATATGGAGATTTGCATATGAATGACATGTGGGGGACATGGGGACATATGGGGGGACATGGGAAGAGCACGGGGACACGGGCACACAGGGAGAGGGTGAAGGGGGTGACAGGGGGATATGGGGACAGGGGGGATATAGGGCATGTGGGGACATGGGAATATGGGGGACACAGGAGGACAGGGGGACACGAGGACGTGGGGGGGACATGGGAACACAGAGACCGGCTGAGATCCCCAGGGGCTGCCGTGGGGACACCCCTTCTCTTGGGGACACCTCTGACCTGGGGACACCTCCGGTCGTGCCCCCCGTCCACCCCCCATGGGGAGCTCGGGGGTCACACGGGGCTGAGTGTCCCCGTCCCCTGTTGGTGTCACCCGTGGGGCACAGACACAGTGAAGGGACACGGGGGGTCCCGGTGCTTCGGTCACTTTATTGGGGGGTCTCTGTGTAGGGGGGGCTGAGTATTGGGGGGCTGGGGTTTGGGGCTGGTCAAGGGGCTGGGCTGGGGGGGCAGGACACAGGGTTTGGGGACAGAGTGTGGGGCAGGGATGTGGGATTTGGGGAGCAAGACAGTGGGGGCAGGACTGGGAGAAGGGTTTGGGATCTGGGACAGGGTTTGGGGGACAGGAGGTGGAATTGGGAGGGGGAGGTGGGGTTTGGGGGGCAGCACAGCAGGGGTGGGATTGGGAGCAGGCAGTGGGGTCTGGGACAGGGGTTTGGGGACAGGCCCAGGCTCGGGGGGCTGCACAGGGGTTGGGGACAGCCCCCCCAGGCCCCTAGCCCCTCTAGGCTTCGTATTTGCAGACGAAGGGTTTGCGCTCGCCGCAGGCCTCGCCCTCCCAGGCCATGAACCCTGCAGGGACACGAGCCAGCGCTGGCACAGGGGACACGTGGGACACTCTGACAGCCCCAGTCCCTCCCTGACACCTCCTGACCCCCCTGACCCTCCCTGGCACCCCCTGCCCCCCCAAGCCTTGTGTCCCCCCACCAGCTGAGTCCTCCAGTGTGGCACAGGGCTGTCCCCAGGCCACTGTCCCCAGCCCTGGCTCCCAGTGCCCCCCTGACCTGCCGAGTCCTCCAGGGCGATGCAGGGATGTCCCTTGGGGCCATCGTCCCCCTCCCAGGCCCAGTAGTGCCGCGGGGACCCGTCAGCCCAGAGCCAGCCCTGGCGCTGTGACAGGGGCACAGGGACACAAGGTGGGGCAGAGGGGGACGGGGGGACAGGGACACACAGGTGAGACAGGGACACACAGGGGGACAGGGGGACGGGGGACAGGGACACTGGGGAACAGGGGGACGGGGAACAGGGGCACAGGGACACACGGGTAGCAGACAGGCAGTGCTGCAGGGCGCTGCAGGACCCCGGGATGGGACACGAAGGTGTGGCAGGGCGCGGTCAGGGCAGGTTGGGGCGCAGGGGGGACAGGTAGCGCTGCAGGCAGGGGACACCAGGAAGGGACATCAGGGTGTGGCAGGCAGGTACAGACAGGCACGGCTCGCTCAGGCCACGCACCCGCCGGTGCAGCCCGATCCAGACGCTCTCCTCCTTGTCCCTCTCCCTCTCCCTCTCCTTCTCCCCCTCCTCGTCGTCCTCTCCCCGCCGCGGCCGCCGGGCGATGAAGGCGGCGAGCGCCCGGTGCTCCTCGGGGCTGTGCAGCGACGCCAGGTGGCCCCCGCGGGTGGCCTGGCACCACGCCTGGGGACAGCGCCACGTGCTGGGGGGTCCTGGGGGTCTGGGGGACCCCCGGAACCCCCCATTCCCCCACAGCACCCACCTCAGCCCTCCTCCAGCTCAGCTGCTGTCCGAAGTAGCCATAGCAGTGTCCCTCGAAGGACAGCCACCCCCGGGGACACCTGGTGGCCTGAGCCCCTGGGGGGGACAGAAATGTCACCGTGACGCCCCCAAACCCAGATGGGATCCCGCGGGGGGGGGGGGTTTGGGGGGTCAGGGCACCTCCGGCCCTGTTTGGGGGGCTGAGGCTGGGGGAAAATGTTTGGGATGGGAAGCAGAGGGTGGGCAGAGGGCACTTTGGGGGTCACAGGGTGTGGGATCTCAGTGAAATGTGGGGGTCTCAGGGTGCAGCCTGGGGAATCGGTGCAGGGGAAGTCTCAGGGTGCAGGTGGGGATCTCAGGGCACAGTTTGGGGGATCAGGGTGCAGTTTGGGGTCTCAGGGCACAGTTTGGGGTCTCAGGGTGCAGTTTGGGGGAGCAGGGTGCAGTTTGGGGGCTCAGGGTGCAGTTTGGGGTCTCAGGGTGCAGTCTGGGGTCTCAGGGTGCAGTTTGGGGGATCAGGGCACAGTTTGGGGTCTCAGGGTGCAGTTTGGGGTCTCAGGGTGCAGTTTGGGGTCTCAGGGCGCAGTTTGGGGTCTCACCCGGCAGGGAGGGGGGCAGCACCAGGCAGCCCAGCAGGCAGAGCCCCAGGAAGGCGGCAGGACCCATCCTCAGCCTTCCTGCAACGGGGGGGCTGCAGGGGCGGGGGGAGCGGCCGGGCACCCACCCCTGCAGCACCCACCCCTGCAGCACCCAATGCTGCCCCAGCACCCACCCCTGCAGCACCCACCC